ATAAGGAAAGTCCTAACACAGAGGCAAAAGCTTATTTTTACAGTGCTGACCTTGTTTAGAAAGTGGGCTATATAGGAAAAAAATTGAAATAATAAATATTTGATCTGTCTTTGCTGCCTTCTGTTGGTGGTTTGTGGGTTTTTAGGGTTTTGTTTTCTTTGTCCTATAAAAGTCAGTCTGAGCATGATGTCAGGGGTGTTACTGTGTGGGCCCTGCAGAGCTGTTGGCTGCAAAGGCCACGTTTCCATTGTGCCCTGTCAAACAGCTCAGGGGGTGTTTATTTGGGAAAAAGGGAAAAAACAGAGAGAGGTTGGGGACATGCAGAGATGTGACTCATTATGTGCTAAAGAAGTGCCACGTTGTGGCTTTTAAATCCCATTATTTAACTGATATTTCATAGTAAATGTATAATCCATGGATAAAATAAGTCATTTGGATGAGTAAAGGCATCTTAGCTCATTTTTGTTGGCTGTTCCTTGAAATGGACACTTGCACCTCCAGATTTGTAATAAAGGCTGTGTCTACCTGGCAGTGAGCAGAAAGTGTTTGTGTCAATCTCAGTAGTTTGCTGTTCCCAGCAATATGATCCAACTGAGGTTTGACTCTTGAAAACTGATCTTGATCTGGAAACCATCAGATCCCATTTCAGATGCCTCTTATTTAGTGGTATTGCTGTACTGGTGGGACAAAACCCGTTCTCACATCCAGCTCTTTTGCCCTTTTGATTTTCTTTTTTTCTTTTCCCATTCTAGAAAATCATTCCAAAGAGAAACGCAGGGAGAATCCAAGGGACATGAATCTCCATCAGACCTGAAAGCTCAGCTTGAAAGTCTAGAAACAGATCTGTCCTTTCTGATGAAACTCACTGGTTTTCAGTTCACAAGTCATTCCAAGAAAACAGTGGAAAAAAGTAAGGAGTTTTGTACCCTTTTCTGTGCTGAGAATATCAGTGCAGTTCATTACATCTGCAAACCTGTGTTGTAATTCTACTTCCAGTGTTAGCAGAGAGACAATTATTTTGAAATACAACGAGATTTTCTTTATTGACAAAACAGTTCGAGTAAATATTGTGCTTTGCGTAGCGGGACAGTGACAGCCTCCTGGGAAATCTGGTGTGTTTCTTTAAACATGTTTAATTCTTTATACATGGCTGGTATCAGTTGGGAAGAAATGCAGCAGTTGTTGAGTAGAATTGTAATTGATTATTTTGGTAACTTCTGTTTTATAACAGCTAGAGACAGAACAGTGCAGAAGCACAGGTTGTCTGGGAATTGTCACTCCCTGTCTTTTCAACTGGAATTCCAGCTCCTTGAAGTGCAGGTAAGGATCAATGGATATTTAAAAAAAAAAAAGGCAACTACCAAGCAAACAAACAAAACTTCAAATGGACAAATGTCAGTGCTGGGGTTTTTTTAGAGTTAATGTGATTGAACTGATAGTATAGATTGGATTGACAGTAAACTGCCTTGTTATGTAAAGATGCCATTCCTAATCTTAAGAAAAGCCATGTTATGAATTTGGAAATTGAGTATTTAATAGTCACACGTGGATTGCATCACTTGAAACTGCAGGACTTCAGCTGACAGAGGTTGTCCTTCAACCTCTGAAGTCCACGTGTGACTTGAAACATGCAGTCCTTGAGATGCCACTTTACCATTTCCTTGTATAAAACTCAGCTCTGAGCACAGAAACATCCTGCACCAGTCCTGAGGCCCGGTGAGATGTTCGTGCCTCTCTCAGCTGCATCTCCTGCAGGATGTGTGCACCGACATCCTGTGGTGTCAGTGGAGCTCAGAGGAGCAACGGGGTGTTGAATTTACTGCTAACGGCGCTGGTGATGCTTGAAGCCATTGCACCACCGTGTGGCAGCACTTGGCTGCCTAATGCCTGCAGCTGGGGCTACTTGAGCGCTGAGATCACCAGAGGGAGACAGGGAATACCAAGTGTATAGATATTTTTTTAAAACCCACTTGAAAAAGTATAATTTTTGATGAATTGTTTTTCTCTTATACAAGTACATGGCCAGCTCTAACTTACACCCTCTGCATTGCATATTAAGTTGTATCAGTTTACCTGAAGTTTGGATTGCCACTATTTTGTGCATTTGTGTGGTGTGGGTGATGGAAATGTTGTGGAAAATGGTAAATTGCTGCAGCAAGAACCTATGAAGAGTACAGTTTTTAACTGGGCCACAATACACAAGTTTGGGGGTTTATTTTTCTGTTATGTAGCCAAGTCAAGAAGGGCACTTACTGTTTCAAACAGTCATTTCTGTCCCTTCACTTGAGTTTTGTGATTGCAGATGAACTTGAATGTGATGGAGGTTTTTGCATTGACTTAATTATCCTGGCCCAGGTTGCCCAGAGAAGCTGTGGCTGCCCCATCCCTGGGAGTGTTCCAGGCCAGGTTGGACAGGGCTTGGAGCAACCTGGGCTAGTGGAAGGTGTCCCTGCCCACAGCAGGGGGTTGGAACAAGATGATCTTTCAGGTCCCTTCCAACCCAAACTATTCTGAGACTCTATCATAGTGTGTTTTAGCTGTTGAACAAATTATAACAGAATGGTTTGCTTAGAGTTGCAAAAGACTACCATTGTGCCCAATTCTGTATTTTCATTTGGTTAGGACTCCTTAAACCAAATAGATTCTGATAGAATTTAAAAATTTAAGCTTAAGGATACTATTTTTAAGGTGTGCCTTTTTGTAATTTATATGATAAAAAGTTACTCTTTATAGTGCAAAAGCTGATCTCATGACTAGGTTGCTGACAACTGCAATCAGAGATTTTGCCTAGTTCCAGCTGGCTGTTCCTGTGGTGTAAAAGGAATGGCATCGTGGTTGTGCCTTCATACACTGTGCAGGTCACCCTGCAGTGAAGTCAGTACATCCTGAGGATGCAGGAGTCCACCCCCATAACTTCCAGGAAAACTGTGACTTCAGGCCAGATTAAGACCTGGTAGTTCAGCTTTAATTTTTTTGTACCTCTGGCTTCTTGCATATAAAAGAAGCCTGTTTTGTAAGAGATGGCACTAACATGGTGTTCAGAATAACCTGCCCTGGCATCAGCACGGGCAAGGTAGTGCTCAGTTGTTACCTGTGGTGAGAAATAGAAGGTGACAGCTGGTTTTGGGAAGTGCCCAGCAGGTAACAGATACCTTAGTTTGCAGCAGAAGGTCAAGAACAGTTTTTTTCACACTGTTAGCTGTAGCTGTTTGTTCTGGTAGTGAAGTTACAGTACAGTTAACTCAGCTCCATAAGATTAGGAGAAGACACGAACAATGAGCTTGGAGATGTTCCAGAACAAGTGTAAGCCTCTTGAGAAAGCAATCATTCAAGAAGAGTTGCTTTCTTGGCAAGAACTTTCCTTTTAAACCTTTTTGTTTGGCCCCAAGGTGGCATTTTGGTGTGTCAGTGACCCACTCCTTGGGAATCCAGTCCCTCCCGAGGGCAGCACATCAGCTGGTGGCTGCTGGCAGCTTCTCTGCCACTCCATGCCCGTGCTCAGCCTTCTGCTCTAACCCTAAAATGGCTTTTCCTGGTGTTCCTTAGTCACTCCACTAATCTCTGTAGTGCCTTGGTTGGCTTTTCCCATGGTTAGTGCTGGCAGTGTTGGCAGCACTGCTGTCCAGCCAGTGCAGATTGCTGAGATCTCTGTGCTTTTAACTCCAGCTTGGCTGGTTCCCTCTGTTGCCATTCCCATTTGCTTGTAGTGACTGGGTATAAGAAAAATAAAGTACCAAGTCTCCAGTTTCAAGTGAAGCATTTGCTGTGTTCTTCAAACCCCGATTTTAAGCTTTTTAATTCAATCCATTACTCTGGTGTGTTCCAGAATGCTCAGAAAAACAGCACTGACTTCATTTGTGGCTTTATTTCTACCCTCTGACTTTCTTTTCTCCTTTTTAGCAGGTTGTTAGATATTTTAATTTAGAATAATTTTGGTTTTATCATGCACACATTCCTGAGTAGCAGTTATTATTGTAAAAAGGGACAGGAATTTGAGGCAAAACTATAGACTTTAAAATAAAATAATACAAAGGAAAACTGACAGATCAAACCTTATATTTGATTTTTCTGTTATATGAGGCAGCTAGGGGTTGTGTTGGAAAATGAGAAGAATCTTAAAGTAGACTTGATGTGAAAGGAAGTAGATGAACATTCTTTTATACATATATATTCTTTATGCTGGAAAGTTCAGGTGTTATTCCAAAAACCTTGTTGTGTGGATAATACTACTGCTGTTGAAATGAAGGAAACTGTCCACACATACAAGCTGTAGTTAAAAAAAATGCTATTTTAAGAATTATAACAGTTAGAAAAAAGTATATGCAAATGCTTCTACTTTATATGCAAATAGACATATATTTTTCTCCTTGCTAGAGGAATTTCTAAAATACTGTGTTGCTACTTCTCCAACCTAGAGCAAAGAGAAGGTGTCTTCTGTTATTAGTGATCTCAACATCGTAATGGAATCTGGAGAAGATTCTGGAATGAGCAAGTTTGTGTCAAGGTAAGCTGGAATTGTTTGCTCAGGGGAAGTCTTTGTGTGGATATTAAATGCAGTACTGAGTTCTGTAAATTTGTGTTTTTGCTATGCCATGTGCCCTTAGCCCAGCCTGAACCCTTCCAGTCCCTTGTCTGTATCCTGGAGAGAAGATGAAATGCATATAATTTGTAAGGCCTGGAAAGATTTTAAATTCATATTAAACACAAAGAGGTTTTGGATTATCATATGTTTTATAGCTGTTGGAAATTGTTTGGTTCAGGGAAAGGTATAACAATGTAATCTCAGCTATTGCATTTTAATGTTGTGTGAGCTGTTACTCAGATCTGCCTGTGAGCTGCAGATGTGCACTGTGGGTGAGTAATAAAGTGCCCATCCAGAACCCCTCTCTAGTATTTGCCTGTTTCTGGTTCTCTCAGCTCACCATTCCATTTCTCTTTGTATCAGGGTTTATTTCACTGATATTTGAAAACAATAGAATGTAGTTTAAAAACCTGGAGTGGAGTATTTGTGCAATGGCTTAAGAAAATTTACATACTAAAACTTAAGCTTATGAATGAATGTTATTTTTTAATTATTTTCTGGAGTATATCAACTTCTTGTGGTAACATGAGTAAGGATCAAATTATTTGTGTGCAGTACTCCACTGAATTCTGCTAGCAAGCTGTTCTGGGAACAAATCTATTATTACTGACTAATTGACTTAATCCTGTTCTTTAAGTGATTTCTTTTGTTTTATGTTATTTTTTGAGGAGAGAGAGGGAAGGCCAAAAGAGTGAAGAGAAAGGTCTGTTGAGTTACCTCAGGCTTCAGCAGTCTGTTCTGAAAAGTGAATTTTTTTACTCAGACACTTGGAAATTTCCTATAAACCTACCAAGAGTAGTGGTATAACTGAGAAGAGTAGCTGACTGCTCTCAGGGATTTAGAAAAGGAAATTGCCCTGGTTTATTTATGAGTTTTTTGTGACAGCAGAAGTGGATTGGAACTTAACAGTCACCCTGGGAAGGAATGTGTTGCAGTGGTGGCAGACTTGACTTCATCCTGGCTGGAGCCTTGCTGTCCTGTCCCTGTCTCTTCACCACCCTGGTCCTTTTCCACATTGCACCAGCATTCATGAGGCCACACAAGTTGCCAGGAATGATAAAAGATGTCAGTAAATCAAGCAGTGCTTTCTCCTGAGCCTCTCCTTGCACATCCCACCTTGTGTCTGTCGACTTCTGAAGCCACGTGGCCAACGGGATCAACGGGGTCACTTGGTTGAAAAAGGAGCTGGAGGGTGGGGAGTGACCCAACCTTGTCCCCCCACAACTCCTTCAACTTCCAGTTTTCCTCTTTGACTTGTCCTGCACCATCACAGTGGCTGTTGCCAACCTAAGGCAGTAAATAGGTGGGGCTGATGCTGACGGCCTGCTCTGACAGCAACCCACTGTTCCATGGGCTGGTTCTGCCTGGCATCTCCATTTATGGCCATTTTCTCACTCCCCTTGCTTGTTCTTGTTTCAGTTGTAATCTCCTCATGTCCAGTTTCAGGCTTTTCCCAGCTTGCCCTTAGAACCAGCTGCTCTTAGAACCCTCATTCCTACCTTTTCCCTCCCTTTCCCTCCATTCTTGACCAGCTAAATCTGGTCTCCCTCTATATTGTTCCTTCTTTTCAGCCTCCCTCCCACTTTGTTTTCTTCTTTTGCTTCCTCAGCCCTGTCTTGCCAAATCCATTGTCTAGTTCTGTTCTGTTTTGTCTCCTGGCCTGGATTTTTTTCCTTCTCAGTTTTATAATTTTTTTTGGCTTCATTTTTTTTCATAATGCGTGAGAGAGAAGGGTCTTTAAGAGCACCAGAGTTAAAAACTTGGCATTCAGTTGTAATTCCCAGGCCCTTCCTGCTTTGGAAGAAAACAGGGGAATGCTAGAACACTTCTTAAAGGAAGCAAAAGTCAGCAGTCTGATTTCAACCAGGTACTGCTGCAATATATAAACAGTACATCTATATATAAAAATGGCACATCTTCTGGTTTTTATATAATTTCTTAAAAATTTTTGTGGCAATAAGAGATGTATGCAAATGGAATCACAACATCTAGTTGTCTAGTTTTGGATTTTACTTGTGTCCCCTTTCACCAGTTATCACTTATGTTGTACTTTATTTTTGAGAACTACAATATGTAAGAAAACTATTGTTAGTCATTTTTCCCCTATTTTTTTGGACTTGACACCCCATTATTTGCTGGGTGAGTTAACCTTTGCACAGATTAGTTAGTCAAATAGGGCTTTTTAGGCACTATGAAAACTGCTCCTACTTTTTAGTTAGAACCTAAGTCAGAGTGAAGGATTTGGGAAATGTCTGCATTATATTAAATGCTGCATGGGCAAAGTGTCTGGGAAATAAAGGGAAGCAGGAATTCTTCCCACAGCTTTGAGTTGTGCCTTGGTTTTATATGTTAGTGCAGGAAGTCTTGCTTTCTTCAGCAGGTTAAAATAGATTTCCTCTCTTAAAATAGTTGAAGGAACATATTAAAGGAGGCTTAAATACTTTTAGAGCAGTTAAATGTCTTGTGTGCTTTTGTGTTTTGTTGGTGTTACTTTGTGAAAGGGTGTTTGGAGGAAGGGCCTGTGATTTTAAACTGATACAGGTACTCTCTGCCTGAATATGCTTTTAGGTGGTTTTGGATGACTTCTCTGTAACATGGATGTTGGTGTTGGAAATGGGTGTTTTCTGCTCCTACTGGATTTTTTTTTTAAATCTGATGACACTTTGTAATGCTAAATCCTTTGGAAAAAAAGTCTTTAACGTCCATTCTATTAGCACTTCATTATTTTATACCACATTTTCTTGGTATTTAGCATTTGTTGTAGTTGAATTCAGCATGAGAAATTAGGCTAACTTAGGCTAATTAGGAATTATTGTTTGTGGGTAGTTTAAGTGCTGGGAGACAGTTAATTGAACTGGTGCTCTTTGCAGTCTCTTTTTCCCTTCCCAGTTTAAAAACCCCATGGATTTACATCTGTTCATGCCAACACAGATTTTCCCTTTCTAGATACTGAATTCAGTTACAATCTTGAATTTAGCCAATGCTATATGAGACAAGTACCTACTCAGATATAATTGGTTGACTAACTTTTACCTTTGAAACAGGTCCTTTGAGCTTGTTAGCCAAAACTGGTGCTTCCTGCTTGAAAACTTTCACCTGCTTCATCACCTAAAAATGAATTTGAGAGGAAAAAAAGAAACAAAGCCATAATGCTAAAACGAGGTCACAAGGTTTATGATAGTCTACTGGATTGCATAAAAATGGATATTCATAAAAATTACCAGGCTTTTTCAAAAGCATTTTAAGGCTGTAGTTTTGTGGCCCAGTTTTGTGTGGCAGGTGTAGGTTTGCAAAGCTGGGTGCAGTTGGTGTGGAATTGTGACCCCAGGCAGGGAGAGGTGGGCAGGCAGTGCCAAGTCTGCATTGCTCCTGTGGCATGGGTAGAGTTTGACATGTGCAGTTGTGAGCTGTGGTAAAAAACAGCTTCCCAGAACAGTTGATGAGCTCCTGTGAGCCAGTGTGTCTGTCCTTCCAGGCACTCAGTTCTCCTGGTGCTGCCAGCGTTTTTTTCATCTTGGCCTGGTTTTGTTGGCAGCTGTGACTGCTGTGGTAACTTCCTTTGCTGATGCTGTTCTTTCCAAGCTGGGACAAAACTTGTTTGGCTTTTCTTTTGCATTTCAATATCTGAATGACCCCAATGTCTCATTTTTCAGTATGTTTGTGTAACATGTTAAAGGTTGCTGTTCCTGTATATCAGAGCTGGATCTGAGGCACAGTTCTCCCTGGAATGGTTGAAGTGACTTGGCAAGACACTGTTACAACCATCCTTTGAATGCCTCAAGTTTCTGCTCTCAGCTATGCTGAAATAAAGAATAGCTAATCTCAAGCAGAAAAGATGTTAAAAGACAAATTTACATTTAGAATTTAGATACTGTGTAACTTCTTGAAATATTCCCAGATGTCAGTCAGGTATTTTCCTCAGTCAGGTTTTGTAAACTTGTCAAATCCTGAAATAAATCTTTGTATTTTCCAAGCAGTGCTTGCCAGGTGTGTTTTGACAGTGGTTAATAGTCTGCTGCATTTGACTGTGGCTTGTTATCAGCACTGACATGCAGCTGTTCACCCTTGTGGTTAAATAATCGTGCTGCTGCAGGTATTCTGACAGGGAGTTTTTGTGGAGTTTTGTATCCTTTGCATCCTTGCCACGCTTCTTCAGTAAGAACTGCACACACTTGGAGTGTTATTCCTCCTTCCCCTGACAACACTGGATGGATGGTTGGCTGTCTGACAGTTCCTGTTACCCTATATTGTCTCCTTTCCTTTCTCCATCCTGATCCATACATTAACAGAAATTTGAAAAAATAAGTATTGAAAAATAAGTATTTTGTATTTAACTTTTTCCCTCTTCCTACAACGTAAGAAGGACATGGACCTGTTGGAGTGTATCCAGAGGAGTACCATGAAAATACTCTGAGGGCTGGAGCCCCTCTGCTGTGGAGCCAGGCCAGGAGAGCTGGGGGTGTTCACCTGGAGAAGAGAAGGCTCCAGGGAGATCCTGGGGACCCTTCCAGTGCCTAAAGGGGCTTTTGGCCAAGGGCCTGGAATGGCAGGGCAGGTGGGAATGGCTTCCCACTGCCAGAGGGCAGGGTTAGGTGGGATATGGAAAAGACAAGGTGCAGATTTTAGGCTATAGAACTGCTACATCTGATGAAGGCTGGGTTAAACAATATATTTCTGTTTTGTAGCGTTGAAGAATGTGGAAATCTTGCAGCGTTTTTCAGAAGCCTTTCAACTTATGCTGAGTGGTTTGAGCATCGCAGACGCACCTTCCTGCACTTCAAGGTACTGTTGTCAAGCCTTTAGTTACTATTATTTATTAGTACTATATTTTTTTCTTTAAGTAGTTCATTAAGACAAAGCATTGGAGGTGAAACCTGCACTCTTCAGCAGAATATGGGCATCTTAAATTTGTATGTTGTGGAGAAGAGAATATTAGCTAAAAAAATTGTTTTGAGTTCAGGGGGCAATGCCTTTGCTTGGTTTTTATCTTAATTATCATACTATTGCTGTGTTCCTCGTGGGTGGGGAAAAATAAGAATGCCTGTGCCTTTCTGTGAGGGAGCAAGACAGTTTTCATTGGTATTAAATCTTATTTTGATTTAAAAAAAAAAAAAAAGGAGCAAAAGAAGAAATGAAAAGAAAATAACATTTGTAGTCTTTGGCATGTAAACATTGGTTTTGAAGGACTGGATCTGTTTCTCTTGAAGATGTGGCAGCCTGTGTTTGGACCACAGTGCTTTGAGTCCTGAGTTGTTTTACTAGTATGGGAGATAAACTGTTGCTCCCTTTTAACTGGAACATAGTATTTGAACTTAGTTTTAAATTGCCAACATTTGGCTTGTTTGTTTTGGCCTTGTACTGGTTTTAAGATAAACAATTAATCCTTGGAGTAAAAATACATCAGTCTGACAGACAAAACATCTTACACGGTGCTTAATGTTAGAGGAGGATGTTTATGTGCTTAATTATTTGTGGTTTTTTAGTTCAGTTTTTCTTTACCTCAAGCATTTACTCTCACTGAACCCAGTTCCATCTGTACTTTTCAGCTGGAATATGAAGTGGGAACTGCATTGTTTCCTATTTTTTGAATGTTTTAGGCCTTTGAGTTCTGTGCCAAGTTAATCCATTTCTATTATCAAATCAACCAGAACAGAGGAAAAAAAATACTATTTTCTGATAATGTTAAAAAATAATCCTGTCCTCAGCTGAGCAATAAACTGATATTGTCTAATCCTGCTGGCTGTTGAATAAAGGCTTTTCTTTAATCCCTCCATAGAAAAGGGCTTTATGGCTTTGTGATTGTTTTTTTTCAAGCTTCACTTGATGCTTTTTGATCCTTATATGAGCCTCATGACAGCAGTCACTGGTTTCTGGGACAGTGATTCAGTAAACTACTGGAAATATTTCTCATTTTAAAGTATAATAAAAAAAGGCAGAAATAGAAAGGAGGTAGGTTTGGAGATAATTTTTACTCACAGAAAATTGTTGTGTATATAAGCAGTTTTAAAAATATTTATTCAGATGTTGAGTGTAAATAATGAAGGGATCTATTAATTGCTAAAATATGTGTGAACATAAATTCTCTGAAGACATATTACAAGTTTGTCAATATATTAGAGATGTTCTTTCTAAAGGTATTTTTATTTCCATGGACAAGGATGCTGTTTGGGAGAATATTTACCAAGTATGACTGCCTAAGTGTTTATGAAGAGGGTTTTTTTAGGCCTTCTTATTTCTCCTAGCATTAATAATCATTTCATTTAGAAACAGAAGACATTCTCAGGTAAGAGAATTAATAAAGGCTTCAAAGATCAACTCTGACAATTCAAATAACCAGATTGCAAAGGAGAATGTGTATTTGTAACTTAATATTCTGTAATAATTTGTGTGAAAGAACTAGAGGTATGTTTTTACCATATGCATAAAAACAACTGCAAAGTCTTATCCTGTTAATATTCACACTCACACAACATTAAAAATGAGTCTGTAATCTTTGTATTGATTTCCACCCTGCCCCAACCTGCTCTCTACTGCAAATATCCAGGTAGGTAACTGTGCACTGCACTGGAGAGACTGTTTGGGGTGGAGTCTTGGGTTTATAGCTTTTTGAAGATGTAAAAGAAAATTGCCCAGGCTGCCAAGCAGAAATAGCCAGTTTCTCATACTTTACTTTTGGTGTAAAAACACCAAATTTTTTCTTTCCTGTTAGTTTTCATACTTGAAAAGACATCAATAATGTAGAAGTGACTGAATACTGAATAATAATAATTCAGATAATACTGAATGTTTGAGATGAATGACAGTTCAAGGCAGTGCTTCAAATAGATTTTGAAGGGGTAAATGAAGTGTCCCCCGAGTATTTTGTATGGCAGGTCTAACTGTATTGTCATAATAAATATTATGTCTGCAAATGGAGTTACAGCTGCAAATAATTTTCTGATCTTCCTCTGCTGTGAGGATGAACAACTGAAACGGGTTGGCAATGCTGGGAGAGCAGATTGTTGAAGCTGACACTGATAAACAAGAAAAAAAAATTCAAGTTTTATTGGAAATACAGAACAGAAATGAGTGATAGGAAAAAAAATAGAATGGTTTACATTCAGCTTGATACATTCAGCTTGATATTAGTACTGGTCACACAAATAGAAGGTGAAAATCCTCCCTGCTGAAGCCCTTCTCACTTCTTGTTTTGATTATTTACCTTGCTATGGCTGGGGAAAGGAAATTAAAACACATCAGATAACTTACTGCCTTCATTGGGCATTCAGAATGTACCAGTTGTGTGTTTTCATTTGCTTACGAAGTATTAAGAGTATTAATTAGCATTACTGGTGATAATGAGCACATTTCAAAAATATCTACAACGTTTTGATGTCAAATGAATGGTGTGGCAGTGTTAGGTCTCAGAATGTTTACTGGTGTGATATATTACAAAACTCTGCTTGTTTTTATGTGTACACTTATAATTGTTTTCCTAGGAAGAGTTTTGGTGATATTGACTGATCCTATTCATACTGGAAAGAACTCTTTTTTTTTTTTCCTTAATAATAATGATTTGTGATGAGAAAAAGATCAGAGGCCACTACTTATGTAACTTAGAGGAAACACCCAGCTGTGTTTTCTCCATCTTAGGCTTTTATCCTAAGAGGGATGAGAGAATTGGTGGCTTGAAATTGGAATGTGTTTTTTTACATGCTTTGGAGTCATTTTTAAACTTTTGCTAAAAACCTGGAAACATCAAAGTTTTATGACTGACTTGGAAAAATTAAAACCAAGTATTGCTGTCGGACTCTGGGTTTGGTCTCAGTTGTATCAAGGTAATGGAATTTCTTGTTATACCAAGTGACTTAAAATGAAAAATACTGGGGATTGCTGTGTCTTTCTTGGGTAGTGGGTTCAGATCAAAAATATTTTTGTGCTGCATTTCATGGTTGCATCCTCTTTCCAGAAAGGTGAGCCCACAGTTGATGCTTGACAAAGTTACTTAAAAACTGGCTGAAAGTCTCTTAAGCCTCAGCACTGAGTGACAGAACATCAGTGTGTTCAGAATTAAGTGGGCATCAATTCCCCAGAGCACAAGCACTAACAAATCAAGGCTTAGCTAAATAAGATAAATAAAATACAAAATATCTTGTACAATCAGTATTCTAGATGTACTGATACATCATCATGCATTTGATGCTTAACTATATCTACAAATTAGGAATCTATACTAGCTTCAGACTTAGAGTTGATGTGGCAATAGGAACTAGCACACCTTTGGCATTCACACCTCTGGTAGGGATTTGAGGGGAGAAACAATGTCAGAAGTTTATAGTTGTGTAATAAAAAATATTGTGTTCCTATATCAGTTATGTCTAGTTTTAGATAGACTGACTGTCAAGGCCTGCACACTCAATTTGTGTTTTTAATACACTGCATGGTTTAAAGTAGTTGAGTGAAATGGTGCTTGAAGTTAACTTTTTTTTTTAGATTAGTGATAGAATCACCTTCTCTTTTTAATTTGAAAGTCTGATTTAATTTTTCCCTAATGAGCAGAAGTATTGTTGTACAAGGATAATTCTGTTTCTTCTCACTGACATCTAGCTGAAGTCATACTTATTTACAGGTAAGAAACATGACTTCAGCTTGCTGTTAATTATATTGTCACATTTCCTTTAAGAAAAGCTGTGGAACAAGGCTCAGTCTCCATCATTCATTAATAGCTTTAGTCATAATTAATTGTCATACGATGCTGGACTTTGACCATTGTGTTAAAATGGGAAACTGGTGTTGCAAAAACAGCTCTTGTGAGTACAGCTCAGCAAAACTTATATATTTCACTTAAAACTGCCCTGTGTAAAAATAAAACCTGTATTTTTATACATACACATTCTTAGGTGATTTTCAAAGTAAAACAGTAGGAGGAGATTTAACACAACCTTGAAAAGTTCCAGTTGCTATATTGCTTGGTGAACTAAACCTTAATAGGAATTGTTTTCATTTTTTCACAAACCAAGTTTTTAAGGAAACTTTAATGAAATTAACCTTTGAGAAGTTCTGTTTCTAAACATAACTTTCTTTTGTATGCATCTTCATCCAGTACACTTTTGAAGGGCAACTGAAGAGATTTCATTTCAGATTAAAAGAGTGGCACTGGAATTGAAAGAAGTATTTTGCCTGTGTAGCTTGCTCCAAGAGTGTGCTGCATTTATCTGAAAGTCAGATGTGGTGATTGTTCTGAATACTGGCAAAGAATGTGAACCAGCAGTTACTGTGTGATTTTACCTACACGAAAAGTGATGAAGTGAAGGTTGAGCTGTGTGTGCATATGTGTATTTTTACACTTTCATTAACAGAAAAGATTCTGAAAGCAGTGACACCACAACTACTGAATAAAGTGACTGTTTAGAAATAGTTATTTCCAAGCAGAACCACACTTGAACGTCGTAGAAGGTTCTGGGTATGCAGGGAAAACAGCATTAGTGGGGGAGAGGATAGGAGCTTGTAAACAGAGGGAGAGAGGATCCTTTGTTACCAGGGCTGAGCTGTGGGCTGTGCAGTGGCAGGAGCAGGGTTAGTAGTAGGTGCCCACGGGCAGCATTCTCAGGCAGGAGAAGGCGTTGACGTGCTTGGCCAGGACGATGGGGTTGCCCTCCATCCTGATCTCGTCCATGCGCGTGCGGATGTACCGCGTGTTGTTGGACTTGCAGAACGTGTCGTCCGTGATGGTGCTGATGTTGTTGTACTGCAGAACAAAACAGTTTAGGAAACACAGTTATATACACGTGCACCTGTATAGG